ATCTGACTTTTCCAGGTTTTAAGTGCTATAATCAGGCCCCCGGTGCATCTACCAACCAAGGAAACGTGAAAAAGATTAACCCAGTAACTTTGTTTTGGGAAGCCTTTTTCTGCAAGCGTCTGAGAAAACGAGCACGTCTGATTTCGCTTCCTTGGTGACGTTGCAAAGGGATCTCATTATGATATTACCGCCCCTTTATCTTTAAGTTTACACCCATTTCCACTCAAAATAGGCATTTTCAAAATGATATAATAAATGATCTGTGGAGTATTTTGAGCTGAAACTTCACAGACACATTCTGGGGACACCAGAGACTTATATTACATACTGTAAAAAGGGGCATAATATGTCTCCTTTAAAGTAAGATAAATCGGCTGATATTTGGCCATTTTGAAGTTAATGCATCAGCTAGTAACCATCTCTGCTTGGACACAGTTAACAGGAGTGGAATTATGAGTATGAGTAAATAAGCAAAATAAGCTTTTTTCTTTTCAGCGACTGTGTACAATCTCATTTGCTATCATTAAACTGTACATATATTATAACTCAAAAGTTTGGGGGTCAGAAAGATTTTTTAAAAAGAAATTAATACTTTTATTCAGCAAGGACGCATTAAATTGATCAAAAATGACAGAAAAGACACTTATAATATTTCTTCTATTTCTATATATACTATTTCTATATATATTATTTCTGAAAGATCATGTGACACTGAAGACTGGAGTAATGATGCTGAAAATTCAGCTTTGATCACAGAAATAAATTACATTTTAAAATATATTTAAATATAGAAAAGAGTTATTTTAAATTGTAAAAATATTTCACAATATTACTGTATTTTTGATCAAATAAATGCAGGCTTGGTGAGCAAAAGAGACTTATTTCTAACATCGTTCTAAATTTAAACGACAGTGTATCAGAATGAAATGATCTATCAGTCACCCTTTTCTCTAGATATTCGCATTGAGTCGTTGCAAAACCCATTAGTCGATTACTGAATGAAAGCAAACCCGGTCTCTCTCACCAGCTCAGACGGTGGACTGGGCCGAACGACCTGATTGAGCCGGTTGAGGAACCAGGACAGACGCACGTTGCGTGAAATCCTGTACTCCTCTTTCATCAGCAGGTACACCTGCTCAGCCTCCTCCACCTTCAGAGAGAAAAACACCAGAAAACAGCATTTAACATGGGAACTAACCTTAACATGTCAATATAGGAGCAACTTACTGCTAAAAAGCTGATCTTTGGAACTTGAAATGAGAAATAAGCCGCTTTTTGACAGATACAATATTAATCCTCATGATGTTGAATGTGTTTTAGTTATTCTGTACAGCATATGTTCACCATCTAACTACAGATTCCAACATCATGAAGATAAATAAAGGCCCTTTTGCATGTTTACAAATACAAAGGCTAAATAGAATATTGCATATACGTGTATAAAAGTATATTACAGAATAATTCTAATTATATTTTTGTTTGTTTGTTTCCATGCATTTTTCTAATTTAATACTGGCCAAGGAGGTGTCATCTAACATTTAGAATGTTTCATTATATTATATTCCTATCTGGTTATGTTTACTATGGGTTTAGTGGCTCTACAGACACCATAGAGATCTCTAGCCATCAGCATAACTGCATCCAGCATCTGAAGGGGTTGTTGAGTTTTTAGTTATCCTTCCAGAAACAAGTAAAAAGTAGTACAAAACTAAGGAAAAAATTTTATATTCTACTTCAAGACGCCAGACAAAGAAACAAAACTGTTTATCATACAAAAGAAAACAAAAACAAGAACAAAAAGGTCTTTATAGTTTGATTGCTGACAGGGTTAAATAGACACTGCAGTGTTTATAACACAACCTGCATTCACTGCTGGAGAATTTCAAAAAAGCTTCAGCTAAATGTGAAGAAGAACAGAGTTAAATGCATGCAGTGTGTCCTCATTCAATATCCCTCAGATATGAAGTAGATGAAGAGCATGTTGTTGTTGTCTGAGGGAGGGGCTGCAGACACATGACAGAGCTGCATTACACTGATTTACTTCCAACCTCCGCCTTAAACCTCTCCCAAATATCTCTTATTTATTTAACAGGTTAGAAAAAGGCATTCGGTGCAAGAATAACAGAATAAAAGTCTCACATTTTCCCTAAAATAAATGTTTTTCTCTGTTCTGTTTATGTGTTCTGTTACTTAACCAGTAAACAATTCCGAATGAACCGAATAAAACAAAGAAACACGGTCCAAATAAGAGTTTAGTTTACCTCATTGTCCTGTCTGTCTGCCATGCCGTGCTTCTCATTACTGGCAGGTTGATTTTGAGCGAGTTTTAGAGGGTTTGTGTGTCAATATCTGTAAACTGCAGCTCATCTGACTGCAGCTGCTTCACTTCCCGTTCCCGAATTCAAAATAAAAGCCCCGATACTCGTTCAAATGGAGAAAATTGTATATGCGCATTAATTATAATATTATTATTTTTACTTTAATTCTAACTTATAAAAAAATACATTAAAATATAATTTGAGAGAAAAGCTGAATTGGAAAATTTACATGAAATTATTATTTTATTTTTTTAAATATCTCGAATTCCATAAGAATTGTGCTAAGGAGAATTTTTGACTTCATCTTTGGCACAGTAGATGCACTGGAAATATAAACAGTTGAGATCTTAGCCTACGTTTTCTTCTGATAATTAAATTCGAAAAAATAATATATAAATATAAATCTGTAGCGATGCTATTTAAAAGGATAGTTCACCCAAAAAATAATTTACACACCCTCAAGTAGTGCCAAACCTGTATACATTTCTTTGTTCTGCCGAACAGAAAGGGAGATATTTTGAAGAAAGTTTGTAATCAGGCTGTTACATGAGGCACCATTGACTTCCATAGTAGGAGAAAAAAATACTATGGAAGTAAATGGTGCCCCAGAACTGCTCTGTTTCCCACATTCTTCAGAATATCTTCCTTTGTGTTCTGCAGAACAAAGACATTCATACAGGTTGATGAGTAAATGATGACAGAATTTTCATTTTTGGGTGAACTATCCCTTTAAGTTAGGAACCATTCTCTCGGACGCGTTTCCTTAAAGCCGGACTCCATTTCCTGCTGCAAGTGTTTGTTTACTTCCGCTTAATTGTGCCGTTTGGACAGTGGCGTTGAAATGCAGGTAAATTGTTATACGTTTATACTTCATGTCTATTTTTGCAGCTGTTTCACATTAAGAAAAACTCAGTTAGAATTAATGATGCAGCAGCAGCAGCACGCAGGTGTTGTGCGAAAATAGACCTTTTTGCAGTAGGTTTGTGTGCTGGCAAGCTAACTGTGGAGCGCTGCGCTGCAGAAAAACACGCGAGACATTGTTATTGTTTTATTATATCATATAAGAGCTGAAGGGGGATATGTTTGTGTTTTATTTCGACAGCAGCGGGAGGAGAAGCAGCTGGAGGCGTCTCTGGAGTCTCTGCACGCTCGCGTGGCTCATCTGAAAGGTTCCCTGCAGAGTTTTATATTGAAACTGGAAAACGAGCATGACAGACTCGCATGGTGAGTGAGAACTACAGATCTTTCCTGATGAACTGCTCAGTGGATCTGTCACTGCATTGACGCGGATGTTTTGAATCCAGGCCCTCAGTGCTGGATAATTTCGCCCTTCTGTCCGGGCAGCTGAACACCATCAATAAGGTGTTAAAAAACGAGAAGACCCCATCCTACAGGTCCCAGGTCATCATCCCCCTGCTGCTGTCTCCTGATCGAGACGAAGAGCTGGTGGTGAGCGTATTCACCCAGTCACTCTGCTTATGCCTGCCTAACTAGCTTTTTTTAAGGTACGACCTTTTCTTCTGTTACAGAAACTAACGGAGCAGCGGGTGCCTGTGTTCAGTCATGAGATTGTGCCGGATCATCTCAGGACCAAACCCGACCCGGAGGTGGAGGAACAGGAGAAACACCTGAGCGCCGAAGCGGCCCGGATCGGACCTGAAGTAGCTCAGGTAAACAAATCCAGGAGGGTTCTTTACTTGACTTAACAGAGCAACACCGTAGCAAGCATCTAGCAAGGCCTAAATCCCTGTCTCCAGATGATAAAGGTATTCAGACTAAATGAGGCTTCTGTAACCCTCTGGTACACCCTTCTGATTGTCAGTGCTCAAAACAGACCGAAAACAATAAGGGTTTTTATTTTTTATTTTTTTTAATGAAAGAAATGTACTATATTTTGTTTCAATTATATATATATATATATATATATATATAATTTGCTTATAATTGAATTTTCATGCATAATTATTGATTTCTATTAGATTTTGCTACTTCATTTTGGCTGATTTGCAGATTATATGCCAAAGCAATGCTGTTTTTTTTTATTTTTTAAATTTTGCATTCTTTTTTGACCTCGAAAATCGTGATTTTTTTTTGTTTGTTCTTGAAACCATTTAGCCTTTTCTAATCATGTCCACAACTCTTTTAGTGTTCATATTGCAAATGCCACAAATGTCACAATTTTATTAAAAAAAATTTGAAATCCTTTGTTTTGTTTTTTTTATTAAAAAAATTCAAAACAATATAAAAAAAATGTTCTTTCTTTTTTTGAAGGCCACCTCAGGGTTAACTTTCAAAGTAACTGATGTAGATACATTTTAAATGTGACCCAGGTCCACAAAACCAGTCATAAGGGTCAATTTTTTGAACTTGAGATTTTTTTTTAGAAGAATAAATAAGCTTTCCATTGATGTATGGTTTGTTAGGATAGGACAATATTTGGTCGAGATACAACTATTTGAAAATCTGGAATCTGAGGGTGCAAAAAAATCAAAATATTGATAAAATCACCTTTAAATCTGTCCAAATGAAGTTCTTAGCAATGCATATTAACAATCAAAAATTAAGTTTTAATAAATTTACAGTAGGAAATTTACAAAATATCTTCATGGAACATTATCTTTACTTAATGTCCTAATGATTTTTGGCATAAAAGAAAAATCAATCATTTTGACCCATACAATGTATTTTTGGCTATTGCTACAAATATACCCCAGCGACTTAACACTGGTTTAGTGCTCCAGGGTCACAAATGTGAAATGTATAAAGGCTAGTTGTTGAATTCTGTTCTGTTTTCTTTTTAGAAACAGATCCAAACACTGAATAAACTTTGCTCGAATCTTTTGGAAAAGCTGAATAATCCTCGTGACGACAGAGACTCTGAAAGCTCAGGTAGTTTAACCGTTGTGCCTAGTTTTATATTTGCCGATTTGTCACGTGTGCAAAGTCATTGATGTAGAATGGACATTTCTATTCAGCTTTGAGACAAAACAAGCCATCCTTCAATCCCGCCGACACGAACGCTCTGGTGGCAGCGGTGGGGTTCGGAAAGGGCCTGTCGAAATGCAGACCACCCGGATCTGTCCCTCCTGGTCACCCTGGACAGCCGACGATGTCAACAGGTCCCACACTACAGCAGGTCACAATCGCTGGGACCACGGGCCATCAGGCCGGCATGGGAGGACAGGTCGCCCAACAGCAGCCTGGACAACCTGGTACCACATTTAATAACATTCACAAACACATTTAGACGCAAAATCACCATTTATCATGCTTATACAATGTTTTTTAAAATTCTACACGTTCTGTTTTAACAGGTAAAATGCCCAGCAGCATCAAGACTAACATCAAGTCTGCATCCATGCATCCTTACAACCGATGAGTTTCATTCATAAATGCTGCATTTTGTGATAGGAAGTTTGGTATACAAAGCAAAAAAGCTCATTCGTTTTGTGCATTTTCAATAAACAAATTTGTTGAAATCGTGTGTTATCAAATTTCCTTTTATCACATCAGATTTCAGGACTTCAAAGAAATAAATTCAAATGTAGTACTGAGAAACACAACAGAGACACTGCAGTGAAAGCGCATTACACATACTAAACACAGTAGTGTATGTTAGTCAGTAGGTGGCAATGTTGGCTTTTTTATTGAATGTGTGTCTAAGGGCCAAGTACACTGCCAAGTTAGGCTCAGATTTTTTTTTTTAAATGAATAATTCATACTTTTATTCAAGGATGCATTAAATCAAAAGTGACATTAAAGACATTTATAATGTTACAAAAGATTTGTATTGTAAGTAAACAATGTTCTTTTGAACTTTCTATTCATCAAAGAATCCTGAAAAATGAAGTGTATCAGTTTCCACAAAAATATTCAGCAGCACAACTGTTTTTGGAACATTGGTTATAATCCGAAATGTGTCTTGAGCAGCAAATCAGCATATTAGAATGATTTCTGAAGATCATGTGACACTGAAGACTGGAGTAATGATGCTGAAAATGCAGCTTTGATCACAGAAATAAATTACACTTTAACAGATATTCACATAGAAAACAGCTATTTTAATTTGTAATAATATTTCACAATATTACTGATTTACTGTATTTTTTGGTCAAATAAATGCAGCCTGTGAGCAGAAGAGACTTCTTTCAAAAACATAAAAATCTTACTGGCCCCAAATATTTCAGTTTAAAATGTTTCATTTTAATTACAAGTTTAAGTGTTGACTTGGGAACTTTTACAATTTCATTATTTAATGTTCCTCATTTAGGAACAGTGTTATGATTAGTGACAATTAAGTGTACTTTTTGGTTTATTTTTTCAGCTGATATGAATGTCACATAATCGCAGCTGAGTGTAAAACATTCTGTTCATAGCCTCAATAACAAACAAGTATTACAAGGTGAATGGTTTTTTGACATGTATCATAGTTTTCTGTTTATCATGATGATTATGCACACATTGTGTTGCTCCATAAACAAATAGAAATCTCATACGCTTTAGGACCAGGGAAAAAGGCATTGTTCTTTTAACCCCACTGACTGTTAACCGCTCTTCTACCAGCAGCCCATGACTCGTGAACCCGACAGCATCACACACCTTCAGTAACACCTCACATCACGGGGGTGTTTAATGGTAAATCTGCAAGTGAAAATGAAAGCCATTTGGGACCCTTTTGAGTTCTTTGAGGCAATTAGCACATCAGGAGCATCGGCGGGTGATACATGAACCTTCTCAGAGGATTCCAAAATGTAATCACATTCCTAGATGTGCACATAAATTAGGTATAAAATTTCAGTTCCCTTTTGTGTTTTGTGGGTGTTAATGAATACATAAGAGTAAATAATTGCTGAGAATGAACTTTTACGCTTTTACCCACCAATTCAGACAGTATCAGCAAATATTCACCATTAAACATAGAACAACTGTAAATGGCAAAATACAGCAGTATGCAATATAGCAAGTGCAAAAAAATTCATTTTGGTTCTTTGGTTCTTTTTTTTAAGACTGGAACAAGTTTTGATACTGTATCCACCTAAAATTTTAACATAATCCTCATAGTTGTGATTTAGAGATTGTACTGATCAAGACATTGATCTTGAAATTACATTTCTTTGTCATTCTTTGTGATCAGTGCAAGTGCTCAAATGAACTTCAGTGGATTCATGTGGCCAAAAACACAAGACAAACGGCTTGCATTGAGTGCAGTGGGAACGTGGTTTTAAACCCCAGTTCATCCATATAAAAGTTTGTTTTAATGAGCCGATCAAAATCATGCCTGTGGATGTACAGCAGGAGGGAGATGCAATCATCATGCATTTCATATAGTGATTTAACTGGAATGGAGAGCAGGTCCCCGATGAGCAATAGAGACTAGAGCGGTGCACTTGTTTGACTACAGTAAGTACGCACCTAGCAACCACTCAGAACACCCTAGCAACGAGTTACAACCACTCAGAACACCTCTGCATTTTTATATCAACAACCTGGCAACCATCCAACACTGAAGGAATCATATAGCAATGCACTTTAAACCAATGAGAACGCCTTAACAACCAACAATGTGCTTTTGTGTTCCCCCCAAGAAACATCGCTGTTCTTCTCGTCTCATGTTATTTACATGAACAGTTTTGTGTTCAATCTCTTGCAGAGTTTCTTGGGGGAACACAAAACGTTTGCCAATAAACGTAACGTCACCAAACACTATTTCAGCGGCCTTAATTCAGGACTTATTTTGTCCTTTCATTTTTCCCATAGAGATTTTTATGATAGGATTTTTAAATTTATTAGTAAAACAAGTTGTACGGTAAATATAAACAGGCGATTCTTGGCCATTTTGCTCTACAATGTAAATTACACACACCCGTACTGAAATTTTGAATTTTGAAGCAGTTAGGTTTATTTTTTTTATTTATTTATTTTTTAAATGTATGTTTGTAATGAGTAACTACATAAGATTGTTTGTGGTGTGAGTGTGTGCAGTCTAGTTGTACAACTAAATGTCTAATACCAAAATTACACTGCAAAGGTGGGACAAAAGCTCTTCTGAAGTGGCATTTAGGCGTCTTTACACAGACTGTTTAATGCTGCTCAGAGGTGGCATAAAAGCATTGCTCCTTTAGATACTAGGGGCTGAGCTGGGTCAGAGCATAATTTAGTCTGGCTTTTATGCTTCTCCATCTTTTTAAATGTTATTAATGTCATTCACAATGCATCATGGGATTGTAGTTCTTTCCCTCACTAAATCTATTAAGTAGTCTTTTTGTCTGTTTTTCTTTACATTTTTGGCTTCAAACTTTTGGCTTTACGTTTTTTACTTTAAACTTTTTTTTTTTTTTTATTATGGAAAAAATTGATTTGTTGTTATTTGTGTGTTTATTATGTAAGCTTGCTTCCACCACAGGGAAAAAAAAGAAAGATAATTGTGACTTTTTAGCTAGATACAAACTCGCAATTCTGACTCCTTTTCTCACAAGTTTATATCCTCCAATTGACTTCTTTTCTCAGAATTGGGAGACATAAACTTGTGAGGTGCAATTGCGAGTCCAGAGGAATTCTGAGGAATTCTGACATTGTCCTACAATCGCAAATTTATCATGCAGTTCAGAGAAAAAAAGTCTGACCTGAGAGATGTAAACTCGCAATTGCAAGAAAAAATGCAGAATTGTGAGATTGCAATTACCTTTTTATGATTATTTATTCAGTGGCAGAAACAAGCTTCTATAGTTGAATGTTCTTGTTATTGAACAATTCTATGATCCATGATTTAAAAATGCAGTTCAGATTTTCAAGTGTGTGTCATTTTGCAGGGCATTTCCCAGCATTGGGGTGTAGGGGGAACGCAATGTGACAGCGGCCTATGTCTCATCTGAGTCTCAGACACCAGTTCTTCTGAAAACTCATCTGTCTACAGAGAAATACAGAGCTCACCAGATCTATTTTACCCAGGGAAGAAAAGAAAAAGCTTCCACATCACTGAGCTGAGACAGAAATAACAACAAACACTGACCCCTCTGACCCCGAGTACACACTCTTCAATAACTTATCACACAAATCAACTTAACCTGACCCCTACAAAGCAGCGGAACGCGTCAGAAAACAGTCAAACTGCAAATCAAACAGCCTTTTTGTTCTGCCAAACCTACTTTTAATCCTTCAAAACAGTGATAATTGTTTGACAAGAAAGACAGAATAGACACAGGTCTGGATGAGCAGGACTCTGACAATCTGCCATCGGCTTTCAAGGGTATTTAGATTGTATCCGCATCAGCGCGACGCGTCCCACACGCCCTTCACTTGCGCGCTCTGTTTGGAATCTGTGTTTCAAAGAGATAAGTTTGCTGTTTGTCTCGAGGCGTTGTTTTCAAAGATGCGCGTCTGATTCATTAACACGAGCCGCTTTCGGCGCTGTTTAACTTCCAACACCCACATCGCCAAAAGTTCATCTCGTCAGAACTGGCAGCGTTTTCGACGCGCGCTGCGGTTTGATCCACATCTATCGCGCGAGTGACACGAACGCAAGCGAATAGCGCGAGGCTCTTTCTGGAAAAGTTGCTGATCAGAGGAGCGTGACGCGTGACGGACGCAAACGGGACACTGTTACGTACGTCCTCCTGAATTAAGCAGAAAACCAACACCGACATCTAACCCGATCTCTATTCTCTCTCTCCTCTGTGACAACACGACACCAGCCATTAGAGAGGAACTTCACGCTCCTGCTGTGATGGAGCTGAAATCCCCGCAGCTATGCGCAATTCACGACCCTCATCCGGCGTGTCGATATGATAAAGCCATCGTGCAGAACATTTCTTTGCTCGATACAGACGAGGGGAGATCAGACGCGGCTCATCCTCCCTCTGGACACACGAGAGATCTTCGCTGCTCCGTAATCCGCGCACGGGAACAAAGACGCGCGGCTTTAATTCCTGCCCCGTAGACCTGAGAGATGATGTGTGTGCATTGTACTGGCATTGATTCGGTACATCATACGTGCATTATGCAGAACGCGCAAAGACGCGCACATCATAAAAGCCTCATTCTGTTGATTTTACCTTACAGCAGATGCATTTGGGCATGGCATTTCAAAACTTTTTGGGGGGAAATACACTGCATTTCTGGAACGTTTATGTTTATTTAAATTAAAAGGGAATTTTGTGGGCTCCAGAGTCTCGTTATAGTTTTGTGGTGTCCTATTTTATTTTCTTGCAGTGCCTGCATACAGTATATGGTCAGTCTCAGAATTTATCTTTGTTCCTGCACTTTTTATTCAACCATTCTGTGACATGCGTCAACTTTTACAAATAATGGTTTGATCTTTCTGACATCATATTGCGCATTTTCACTCAGATTATGTTACACTAAAAAATGCTGGGTTAAATATAACTCAGCATTTTTTAGAGTGCAGTATTTCATTGTGAATGCACTGATTGTACTCATTACAAAAC